TCTAGCAGTCTCGTTTTGGAGGGAGGAACTTGCCGAGTTTTTCTTGCGCAGTTGCTTCCTGTTTCCTACACTACTCACCATTGTAGATTCCCGGCTCCTTTTGGATAATAAATTTTTCATCTTCTCTGCACCACTTAAAGATGGTATCCAACCCTCATCAATTAGCTTTGTAGATTGAGATGAGGCTCCAGATAGATCAAAAGCTTCTGGAATCATCTTTATACTCATCAAATCAGGTTTGGTGTTAGTAACATCTGCTAAACTTGGTTGGCCAGATTTCTGAATTGGCATTTCTTCCAAAATATTCTTTCTAGACGCTGACCTGTATTTGGAACTGGAACGAGCTTTCCTCTTTACACTCGACATCGAAAAAGCTTCTCTAAAGCTCCCTTCAGTCTCACTGGGACGCATATGGACAGTGTATTTTTGGTACCTTTAAAGTATATAATATATTAGGCCCGGCCCCTACGGTTGGAAAGTTTGTGTTCCGCCCCTGGTTAAGTTGTTCAAATGTCTTCAACCCGATCAACCCAACCCATGAACACCCCTAGTAGAGATGATCAAAAATCGGTCCCTGTCTCAATTTGTCTTTTTATAATCAGTCATGACTAAAATACCAAGGTCAGGTATGCTTTGTAACAGGTCCCTAAAACCGTTCTATGTCTTGGGACAGGCTTAAATCGATCCTAAATTTTTTTCTCCCAAAAATCAATTTTGAACGTAAAAAATATTGATTGAAGATTTTCTTTTCTTTTTTTGTAAAAAAAAAAAATCGGGACTATATAACAGGTCTCAAGTCGTGCCATGAAATTTCCTAAAAATCGTAACTGGTGAAGACCGTTGTGAAATTTCTTAAAAATAGTAATCGTATTAGAAAACCCAAGAAAAAGCTTTGTGCATTCTACAAGATTGTGCATAATTTCTCTTGTAGTTACCATGACAGTACCAGTTGCAAAATTAGGATCCTAGAAGGATGACACAGTCGTGCAGGATCCAGTCATAACCGTCTAATTTCTGTTACTTGTTAGGGATGGTCTAAGTAGATAAAGAACTCACTGTTTTCTATATTGAAATAAATAGAATAAAAAGTAAATAAAAAAAAACCAAAATTTGGCTATTTTGATCGGGCGAAAGATCGTGTGAGAATGAAAATTATGGTAAGAAGAAATCTGAACTTTTAATCTTTTCTTAC